TGGTGTGGGTTTATCACGTCTGTTGTGGGAGTCCTCGGGTCTCTCGCCTGGTCGGGACCGGTGTGTGTACGTCGAGCCGTGGCGCTTTCCTTAAATTTTGAAAAAATACGCACCTTCTTCGCGCCTTCTGCCGGTAAGAACCACCGGAAACCCTAGTTACGGTTCCGCGAAAAAAGTTACTATTTGGTGAAAAAAGTTACGTATTTTTGGGGCCTGATAAGACACACCCTTAGGGACCACGTGGTTCTTCCACTCCATCATCATGGCCGATGACAATAATAGGTTCTTCCACTCCGTGTCTCTGTGCGAGTTTGTTTATGTCCTCGTTTGTCTGTGGTTTATTTCGTTTTATTTTGTTTTGTTGTTTTACTGGCACGTACTGCTGACCCTTGGGGTCCTTCCGGAAGGCTACCCCCCAGGCTGGTGGTGCGCACGTTCCGAGAGATTGGGACAGAAGGAGGTACTGGATAGAGAGACCGGAATGGTTTTTAATGTGAAGACAACAACAACAACAACTCCATCATGGCCGACGACAATAGGTATGTCGGCGACGACTGCGAACGCTATCCAATTTGTATCTCACACGTTTGTCTCCCACGTTTGTGTTGTTGCGTTGTGCTATGCTATCCAATGTGAATCTCCCGCGTATGTGTCGTTGCGTTCTGTTGGCGTTGCGGTTCATCCGGCCCTCCACAAAAAAAGATGTCTGTATATAACAAGGTTGCGAGAAAAATGAACACCACCCCCGTCTTGTGTTCACCCTTTGGATTTANTCCAATGTGAATCTCCCGCGTATGTGTCGTTGCGTTCTGTTGGCGTTGCGGTTCATCCGGCCCTCCACAAAAAAAGATGTCTGTATATAACAAGGTTGCGAGAAAAATGAACACCACCCCCGTCTTGTGTTCACCCTTTGGATTTAGTTATGATCGAACGCGCTTTCGGGGGGTAACCGCGGGCAGAAATAGTTCATACAGGCGTTGGTGAGCACGCCAAATACCTGTTGTTGCCATGGCGAAAAACATCACGGGAATCAGACGGAACGTGTTTTCAGGAGGAAAAAAGAAGAAAGTATAGCTTCGGTGATAATCCGGGGGAGAGTGTGATATGAAACGTTGAGAGATTCAATGCCATATCATAACTTTGACGTGTTTCCGGGGCATTTTCGGCGGTAGAGATGCAGGGTGCATAAAACATACATAGTGGAGATATGGTGGAGAGGAAAGGCTCCTCTTCCCCACGTAGGTTAAGTACGCGAGTTTGTGACGGAACTGCTTTCCGTGTGTGTGTTAGACCACGCATTGGGCGACCTAAGGTAAACGAACCCGCTTGAGTCCCGCCGCCTCCCGATGCCGCCCCACAGTAAGGGTTGAATTATCGTACAAAGATTAAACGAAGCACGGACAGCGAAAATGCACACACACACACCAGGCACGCGCGATCGAGGCAACTCACCTTGCCTCCTCCCACAGGAAAAATGTCCGAGTAAATTTCTATGAAAAACTCCGGTTAGAAAGCCCTGGAGGTCACGCTAAAAAGGTAAACGACTGTCGGATCCACAAGCAAGCAAGGTACATCCACCAGTAACGAGTCGTCTAACTAATCAACTACTCCGTCCTCTCTTGCCCCCTACGCGGTCTAAAATGTGCAGTCGTCAACAGCACGCCTGGCGCTGGAGGAGGTCAAAGTGCTGGCGTAGCACTGCTGCGAGGGTTAGGGATCGGGGTGGTGGCCCTCTCGGGCGGTGGGGCAGTGGGAGGCTGAACTTTAGCTGAACGCTCCCCCCCCAGGTCACCCCCCGCCCGCTCCCTCCTCTGCTCTTCTTCTATATCGGAATCACTTTCCTCGAGAGAGGAGATGGGTACGCTCTCTTCAACCGCGTCCCACACCGCACTTGGCAGCTTCCCACTCTGCAGCAAGGAAGGGAAAGTGAAACATACGGCTTTCACCGACTCCGTGCCCTGATCCGCTGTGAGTTTATTGCCCTCCTTCAAGTTCTCTTGCGACCATACGCCCCTCCCGTACTTCGACCGACGGCATTTCTTGCGAGAAGCAGGCGAAAACCAAGTGACGGTTAACTCACCCCCGTTTCCCGCGCTCAAGTCCACACTAACTATTTTGCCAACAACCAGCGGGCACGGATTCGACAACTCCAAAGGGAAAACGGCAAACCACCCAGGCTGCAAGTGCAAGCCGCTTCCGGGGCCACCCCCCCCACCCCCGACCAGTGACCCATCCG